TTATCGGGGATCCTCTTTTAATGGACGTGTTCTTGATATTCTTCTACATAAAACTGCCGTCTTTTATCTTTGCATTCTATTTTTGCATTTGTAATATATTGACAAATAAAGAATGTTTCTTTCATCTATTTTATTCATTATGTTTATCTGTGCTTTTGGGTTTCTATATATAACATATATCAGCAAAAATTCAACAGCACACATGCTTTCAAAACATGGCATAATAATTTTGTCAAATCTGCAGACAGTTGATATGTTTTATTTATTGAAAATCCAGGCGGAGTATATTTCAGTCATCTAGCTATTTTATTCATAATGTACATGTGTGATGTTGAATTGTCATTTGTATGAGTTCTACTATGCACTTTTTAAAAATTCCCCTTTACCGCTGTGAATTTACGAAAAACGAGATTCCCTACAAAACAGCGTGGGCTTACATGATATTGATCATGTCTTGAGACGTGGAAATATGTCTCAAGATATTTAATTTTAGTTTATTATATGTATGCTTTAGTCTACAGGATTTATTCAAAATTGTCATCGGTGTATTCTACTTGATTTATGGCGATGGTTATTGATTCCAAAAACAGATTAAACTGATTCCTGAATGAGTTCAAAAGTTTAAATCATAATTTGACTTTGACAAACAGATTGACGTATCATGCAATGAATGGATATGACAATACTAGTATTTTAACTACAACATATACTAATATGGCTAATTTTTATATTGTCGTTGTGTAAAAATCAAAATGTATGATATATTTATTAATATCGTACTCCGAATTATGAATTTTTCTTATTCACACATATGAACGTGCGCGTTAAATCGCTATTTTAGGAACCACTAAATGATACACTATAAAGTTTTACCCGTTTAGTGTTAACTTTGTCTGTCATACTGTATAAAACTACTACCTCACTGCATATGTTTTATCTGTTGTCAACATCTTCCAAAAATAAATACATGTTCGACCAAATGTTTGAAAACGCAACAAACATATTTTGTATTTAGATATAAGAAGATGTGGTAGGAGTGCCAATGAGACAACTCTCCATCCAAGTCAAAATTTATAAAAGTAAACCATTATAGGTCAAAGTACGGTCTTCAACACGCAGCCTTGGCTCACACCGAACAGCAAGCTATAAAGGGCCCCAAAAATTACTAGTGTAAAACCATTCAAAGGGGAAAACCAACGGTCTAATCTATATAAAAAAAAAACTAGAAACACTTTTGAACCACATCAACAAAAGACAACAACTGAACACCAGATTCCTGACTTAGGACAGGTGCAAACAATTGCAGCGGGTTTAAACGTTTTAAGGGTACCAATCCTTCACCCTTATCTGAAACAATAGTGTAACATCACAACATAGAAAGACACACAATAAAATATCAATTGAAATGGTTTAACTTAATCAAAAGACATATTAACACCAGTGAACATACACTGAACAAATTAATTTTGTCTATGATACAATGTAAATACTAAAATAAATAAACTAAGGGAAGTTTAATAAAAGTAACATGTTATACCGCTGTGAAATGTTAAACAATTTAAGAAAAACAATATGCTTGACAAAAATATCAGCCATTTGCAATAACTTTAAACACATGTAAATGAAAATAATTTTGTTGTTAGGTATACGTGTACGGTTTAAATGTTTACATACTAAACATTAATATTTGTGTACATACGACTATTTATGGCACTCTCAACGGAGTTGGAGTGACATATAGTAATTCTACGTTTCTTTTGTTTTATTATTATTTTTCTTCCAATTTTTTGACTGCCTTATATCTCGGAATTGTATGGACCAATTCTAATGGAATAATACAATAATGTTAACAAGCATGTACAGACATTCAATCGGGGAATGGCATTTTTAAGATGGCTACTGTTCCCATTGAAACTGCTAAAATCGGGAAACATTTCAAAATTCTAAATATTTTAATATGAGACCAAACTGGATGAAATTTTATGAAAATGCTACCTGGTATTCCTAGATCTGCAGACATTAATTAGAAATTCCAAAATGGCCACCATTGTTATAGAAACAGGTAGAAAGTTTAATATTGAAGCAGTTTTTAAAGAATATTACATCAAACCCAATAAAGCTATATGGATATGAAATATGGCATATGCCAATATGGAATCTGTCTTCGGAATTGTGGAAATGGTCATCGTTACCATGGAAACAGCAAATGTGTTCTAAATTTCAAAATGTTCCAAACTTAATAAAAATTTACATAAATGTTAACTTGCATGTGTAGATGCGCTGCTTCAATATGAAAATTTCAAAATGGCTGCCGTTACCAAGGCAATTAAGGGACGAGGGTGCTATCCGCTTTTGCTCGCAATTGCAAATCTAGTTACATTTACTTTTGTATGAGATAATGACAGTAAACAAACATGATAAAAAACAATTAATCAATTAAATCTTCTATTTTTGTTTTACTGAAAAGCAAAAATAATGCCAAAATACTAAGCTTTACAAAAATACCGTTTATCTTGAGAAAAAAGTATATTGACACTAAAATGTTGTTTAAGGACTTACATTATTGGTGTATCATATTTGTATTTTGAAAATAAAATGCAATATTGTTAAAAATATGATATGATATGAAATTAACATTATCATTCTTTTTATTTATAAATTTATATAATGGATGAACATTGTCACGTACATGTATATTCATATATTTGTTTTTTAATTCCTTAAATTAGAGCCAAAAACTGTGTTTTCTGACAAGTATTCTTGCATGGTGAATCGAATTTTCAAGAAATGTAAGTATATACAAAGATGATCATGCGTGTTCTTAACGTTTGTTATCGTGTATGATACGATTTACACCACTGCGTTACTTTTATCGGGATCCTCTTTTAATGGACGTGTTCTTGATATTTTTCTACATAAAACTGCCGTCTTTTATCTTTGCATTCTATTTTTGCATTTGTAATATATATTGACATATAAAGAATGTTTCTTTCATCTATTTTATTCATTATGTTTATCTGTGCTGTTGGGTTTCTATATATAACATATATCAGCAAAAATTCAACAGCACACATGCTTTCAAAACATGGCATAATAATTTTGTCAAATCTGCAGACAGTTGATATGTTTTATTTATTGAAAATCCAGGCGGAGTATATTTCAGTCATCTAGCTATTTTATTCATAATGTACATGTGTGATGTTGAATTGTCATTTGTATGAGTTCTACTATGCACTTTTTAAAAATTCCCCTTTACCGCTGTGAATTTACGAAAAACGAGATTCCCTACAAAACAGCGTGGGCTTACATGATATTGATCATGTCTTGAGAAGGGAAACATGTCTCAAGATATTTAATTTTAGTTTATTATATGTATGCTTTAGTCTGCAGGATTTATTCAAAATTGTCATCGGTGTATTCTACTTGATTTATGGCGATGGTTATTGATTCCAAAAACAGATTAAACTGATTCCTGAATGAGTTCAAAAGTTTAAATCATAATTTGGCTTTGACAAACAGATTGACGTATCATGCGATGAATAGATATAACAATACTAGTATTTTAACCACAACATATACTAATATGACTAATTTTTATATTGTCGTTGTGTAAAAATCAAAATGTATGATATATTTATTAATATCGTACTCCGAATTATGAATTTTTCTTATTCACACATATGTACGTGCGCGTTAAATCGCTATTTCAGGAACCACTAAATGATACACTATAAAGTTTTACCCGTTTAGTGTTAACTTTGTCTGTCATACTGTATAAAACTACTACCTCACTGCATATGTTTTATCTGTTGTCAATATCTTCCAAAAATAAATACATGTTCGACCAAATGTTTGAAAACGCAACAAACATATTTTGTATTTAGATATAAGAAGATGTGGTAGGAGTGCCAATGAGACAACTCTCCATCCAAGTCAAAATTTATAAAAGTAAACCATTATAGGTTGCACTTTGTAAATCACGTGTGATTTGCAAGTTACGCCTCTTTTGGGGAGAAATTGAATATGCATATCAATACTGCTACTGTTTACATAGTTGTTGCCATGGATGCAAACTATTTTTTTTTAATTAAGACTTGATTGGAGATTTAAATGGATATAAATAAAAATGTCTATTTATTTAACTTATTTTTCAGGAGGACTGGAAGACATTTGGGTGTTGAGTCAAATTTAATGGAAAAATTCAGTGCGATCCTGCAATGTTTACACATGGAGGCCAGTAAAACTTGAAAATATGCCGCACAGCTATATGTTTTTATTGGTGCAAAAAAAAGTAGTGCATGTCTCCTTTCCAGGGAAATATAACATTCTCCTCAAAACTTCCTGAATGAAGTGTGACTGCATATGCATTTTATGCAGTTCCTATGGAAAATTGCATTGCTGGATTTACACAACTGCAACCTATAAGGTAAATAATGGGAATTCATCACTCAGCCTCCCTGGGAACCAAATTTTGGACCCCTTTTGGGTTTTCATTTTGCAGAAACAACATGGAATCATTTTGGAATGCATTGGCTTTAGCTTTGTCTAAGAAAAGTGAAAAAAATTATGGAAATTATGACTGTACAGTGTGGATAGGAGCTTTGGAGCATGGGGTCTATGGGAAAAAAGTTGTTAATTGGCCTGATGGCACTAGAACTCTTGAAAGAGCTCACAGATTATCTTATATGCTAGATAAAAGAATATTAAAAGAAAATCTTCCCCGTTACTCTCCAAACGGTGATAATTTAGATATTTCACACCTTTGCCATAACCCTAAATGTATAAATCCAGAGCACCTGATTTTAGAGCCGCACAGTATAAACATAGATAGAATTTTCTGTAGACGGATAAAACGGTGTACAAAAAGTCATTTACCGTATTGTCTTATCTGATGCAGGTAATTTATTTATTTTTAACATGTCTTGATCTGAGTTTTTTGGCAAACGAATACTCTTGAGGCTGTTTTGCGGCCAGCCGTTTTGTCGGTAAAAGTTTGTTTTTCTCATAGTCTTTTTCCTCTTGATATTCATCATATATTTCATAGAGTTCATGCTTTTTTGAGCATCTCTGGTCTGTGTACCGCTTTGACTGTTTGTATAATTTATGTTTTTCATTGTGTCGTTGAATATTTTTCAGACCTCGTGCAGCACGACTTCCCGGTTCAATGGGAACCCCAGCCGCTTTACAGAGTTTAACGATGGATTCTCCAGGGCCATTATTTACATTGTGTATAGCTGTATGTACCCTTCCTTTGTAGTTTCTGGTAAATGTTACATTGCTAGGTACAGTTGCACGTATTGCACGGTTAGTTGCTTCAGCTTTTTGTGTGTTAGTGTTTTTGCATGTACGGTTTAGCATGGTAGGTCCAAGTCGATATTTTACGCATTCACGTAACAATGCTGCTGTGTTCTCTGATTTATTTAATTTGAAGTTATTTTTAAGATAAGCTGATTTTTCAGTCCATGTCTTCAAACTATTCCTATTTGAACAAACAAGGGAATATTTTGTACACCCATTATGATCTCCCTGATAGCAAGAAACTATAGCATGACATGCGTATGATAGGTGAACTTTTATCCGTACCGAGTCCATATTGAATCTTTCAAAGGCAGCATTGTATTCTGCCTGACAACGTGCTGCCATATCTAATGCAAACCTTTTTAGCATTTTATCTTTCTCTGAAACTAATCGTGCCGGCATTATTTCCTTCAGACCTGACATTTTTTTAATATTTCTATGATTTGCGGACACATGTCTTGTATCTAGAAAATGAATTGGTTGAGTATTGGTAGTACCAGCTTTAAAAAGAGACTCTGCAGCCCTAAATGCACTGCTGTCAGGGTCAGTAGTAATTTCTTGAACTTCAAGACCATCATTTTTCAGGTCTAACAAGCAGTCTTTAGCCCATCGCTCCTCACTGCCTATGCTGTCATGCATTTCAATGTTTGCGGAACAGTGACCCATGTGAGATTTAACTTTTGTTTTTGTGTTATGTTCACTCTTATTTGAGCATAGCTTAGAAACTTGTCTTGTGCTTACTATACTGTGCTTATAAGTATTATTTTCTAACATGTTGTATGTACATTGAGTAGCTGGTTGAAATGGTGTTTTACCCATTCCGGAATAAATAGGGTTATTATACATTCCGTCGGCCTGAATGTTAATAATATTAGGATTATCGCCTCTCAATATGTTTATTTCCTTTAATAATTTTCTTTTCTGAGCCAAATCCTTTTGATAGTACTCTTCTATAATTTCAGAAACAACATTAGCACTGTGTTGCATACTTGAAGTGGAAGGAGCTGGTATATTAGAACCAAGAAATAATTTCTGTAGACCAGTTGTGCTGATAGCTATGTGATTAAGTGCGACTTGTATGGATAGATTAATAGCTGCTGTTCGACGACCACGTTTCTTAGCGACCACCTCATTGTAAAGGTTGAACATTTTTGAATGGTAAGAACACTCATTGCAGCTTGCCTTTTCCCTCCAGGCAGCTCCTCTTTGCTGCTCTGCACTTAAATCCCATGATATGAACCCAGTGCACATAGGGGATTTTTGTTTGTGTTCTATGAAAACCTCATTCCACATCTGTTCCAGTTCATTGATGCGAAGGAGTCGAAAACTATTTTTCTCTGACCTGAAGTTGAAAAATGTTGCCAAAATTGAAATGAATTAGTTTTCTTGGTCAAAAACTAATGTTTTGAAAATGTGAAAATAATTCTATTTTGAATTACCTCCCTTACAATGGTGTTTTCTTTAAATAAGCTTTTTGACAAAATTTACTTTCAAAAGTGAATATTTTTTTCTTTGTCTGTGTTTTTATATATTAAATATATAAAAACCATGCACAATTTAGCTTGTAAAAATATATATAGGACTAGAAATTTTAAAATAAGTATAATCCTAGCTTGCATTTTCTTCAGATGTCACATTTTGAGAATTGGCATATAAGACACATGCCTATTTCTTCATAGTTGTTAATAAGTGGCTTTTTTAAGCAAGTTTAATTATTTTTGAAAGCTTAATAACAAAAAAAGTATTCTTACCCTGTTTTTGTTTCATTTTCAGCACATTTTTCAACTTCTGTTTTTGTCGGAGGCTTCGGCCTTAGAAAGCGAGCTGACTTTGTAGAGGCAGGAATTACTTGAACATTCTTTTTATGAACAGATTTAGTCACTAAGTCATACAAGTCTTTTGGTAGTCTCACAAATTTGCCTTTTTCAGCAGGTAAAGTCTTATTTCTGTATTTTTTCCCCTTATTATATGGCTTGTTTCCTTTCTGAAATGTGTATTTCCTTAGACGCCATGGGATTAGACCCATTGTTATAGTAAGAATTGTTTGAAATGCACTTTATTCCAGTATTTCAATATTTAAACATCAAATATAGGACCTTACAACTAAAAAATCATTAATGACTAAGTTTTTTGTTTATATCTGATGGTACTGAAGGTGACCCCAGATGTATGATTTTTTATATAAATCATATAAAAATCATCATGATGGCCAATCACATTTTTTTTTTAATTTGACAAGTTCATTTAATTTGACCTCTCTTCATTTTATATTTTTATCAGTGCTGACAGGCTTGTGTGCTATAACATAAACAGAAAGGAAAGATAAGGTGTATGATTTTGTTATAGGGATATTTTTTGTAAGCTTGTATGACAACTTTTTATGCATTTTATGGTATAGTACATAAAGAAGACAATATTCTACAAAATAGACAGATTGCAGAAAAACTAACCATGATTCAAATTGCTATTACATCAAGGCACAAGAAAAACACAAATATATAATGAGATTATTAAGAAGACAAAAAAAAATAATATATTGCATACAAAAAAAAAATATAGTGAAAAGGAAAAAAACACACCTTGCCGCAAACTGGGTATAGTTACTAGAAGTACTAAAAAAAAACAATAATGAATAAACTACCATTGTAACTTAGTATTTTCTATTACTTACATAAATAACAACAAGAATATAAGAAAATTTTGACCCTAAAAGGGGTTTGAAAGTACAGTATAGGTTGCACTTTGTAAATCACGTGTGATTTGCAAGTTACGCCTCTTTTGGGGAGAAATTGAATATGCATATCAATACTGCTACTGTTTACATAGTTGTTGCCATGGATGCAAACTATTTTTTTTTTAATTAAGACTTGATTGGAGATTTAAATGGATATAAATAAAAATGTCTATTTATTTAACTTATTTTTCAGGAGGACTGGAAGACATTTGGGTGTTGAGTCAAATTTAATGGAAAAATTCAGTGCGATCCTGCAATGTTTACACATGGAGGCCAGTAAAACTTGAAAATATGCCGCACAGCTATATGTTTTTATTGGTGCAAAAAAAAGTAGTGCATGTCTCCTTTCCAGGGAAATATAACATTCTCCTCAAAACTTCCTGAATGAAGTGTGACTGCATATGCATTTTATGCAGTTCCTATGGAAAATTGCATTGCTGGATTTACACAAGTGCAACCTATAGGTCAAAGTACGGTCTTCAACGCGCAGCCTTGGCTCACACCGAACAGCAAGCTATAAATGGCCCCAAAAATTACTAGTGTAAAACCATTCAAACGGGAAAACCAACGGTCTAATCTATATAAAAAAAAAACTAGAAACACTTTTGAACCACATCAACAAACGACAACTACTGAACACCAGATTCCTGACTTATGACAGGTGCAAACAATTGCAGCGGGTTTAAACGTTTTAAGGGTACCAATCCTTCACCCTTATCTGAAACAATAGTGTAACATCACAACATAGAAAGACACACAATAAAATATCAATTGAAATGGTTTAACTTAATCAAAAGACATATTAACACCAGTGAACATACACTGAACAAATTAATTTTGTCTATGATACAATGTAAATACTAAAATAAATAAACTAAGGGAAGTTTAATAAAAGTAACATGTTATACCGCTGTGAAATGTTAAACAATTTAAGAAAAACAATATGCTTGACAAAAATATCAGCCATTTGCAATAACTTTAAACACAGGTAAATGAAAATAATTTTGTTGTTAGGTATACGTGTACGGTTTAAATGTTTACATACTAAACATTAATATTTGTGTACATACGACTATTTATGGCACTCTCAACGGAGTTGGAGTGACATATAGTAATTCTACGTTTCTTTTGTTTTATTATTATTTTTCTTCCAATTTTTTGTCTGCCTTATATCTCGGAATTGTATGGACCAATTCTAATGGAATTATACAATAATGTTAACAAGCATGTACAGACATTCAATCGGGGAATGGCATTTTTAAGATGGCTACTTTTCCCATTGAAACTGCTAAAATCGGGAAACATTTCAAAATTCTAAATATTTTAATATGAGACCAAACTGGATGAAATTTTATGAAAATGCTACCTGGTATTCCTAGATGTGCAGACATTAATTAGAAATTCCAAAATGGCCACCATTGTTATAGAAACAGGTAGAAAGTTTAATATTGAAGCAGTTTTTAAAGAATATTACATCAAACCCAATAAAATTATATGGATATGAAATATGGCATATGCCAATATGGAATCTGTCTTCGGAATTGTGGAAATGGTCATCGTTACCATGGAAACAGCAAATGTGTTCTAAATTTCAAAATGTTCCAAACTTAATAAAGATTTACATAAATGTTAACTTGCATGTGTAGATGCGCTGCTTCAATATGAAATTTTCAAAATGGCTGCCGTTACCAAGGCAATTAAGGGACGAGGGTGCTATCCGCTTTTGCTCGCAATTGCAAATCTAGTTACATTTACTTTTGTATGAGATAATGACAGTAAACAAACATGATAAAAAACAATTAATCAATTAAATCTTCTTTTTTTGTTTTACTGAAAAGCAAAAATAATGCCAAAATACTAAGCTTTACAAAAATACCGTTTATCTTGAGAAAAAAGTATATTGACACTAAAATGTTGTTTAAGGACTTACATTATTGGTGTATCATATTTGTATTTTGAAAATAAAATGCAATATTGTAAAAATATATGATATGATATGAAATTAACATTATCATTCTTTTTATTTATAAATTTATATAATGGATGAACATTGTCACGTACATGTATTTTCATATATTTGTTTTTTAATTCCTTAAATTAGAGCCAAAAACTGTGTTTTCTGACAAGTATTCTTGCATGGTGAATCGAATTTTCAAGAAATGTAAGTATATACAAAGATGATCATGCGTGTTCTTAACGTTTGTTATCGTGTATGATACGATTTACACCACTGCGTTACTTTTATCGGGGATCCTCTTTTAATGGACGTGTTCTTGATGTTTTTCTACATAAAACTGCCGTCTTTTATCTTTGCATTCAATTTTTGCATTTGTAATATTAATGCCATATATACAGAAGCCGTTGGGTATTCGCAAATTCGTCGCAGCTTTATTCACTACCCCCTATCAAATTTTTATTTTCCGTACAAGAGAAAGAGAGCGAGACGAATGATACCAATGGGACATTAAAACTCATAAGTCGAAAAATAAACTGACAACGCCATTGCTAAAAAAAACCCGAGCATCACTTCTTGAGAATGCCGTTAGCGTGGTGAAAAACGTTGCAAATGATGCCTACAGATGAATCGGTCATCAACTTTCTACTATAAGGGACCCACATATACTATAGAAAAGATACCTGGCTTATAATTGTGTACGCCAGACGCGCGTTTCGTCTACAAAAGACTCATCTGTGACACTCGATTCAAAAAGAGAACTAGCCAAATCGAGTACGAAGTTAAAGAGCATTGAGGACTCAATATTTTGAAAGGTTTTGCCAAATTCAACTCTGGTAATCTATTCTTGTGGTGGAAAATCCTTAGTATTTCGAACAATTTAAAGTTTTGTAAACAGTAAGTGATAAAAATGACCATATCAATGATATGTCATGTCAACACAGAAATGCTGACTACTGGACTGGTGATACCCTCGAGGAGAAAACCTCCTCCAGCAGTCCGGTCATTACCTGAATTCCAAAAGAGAACATACGCTGAAATATCTTGACCTTTATTAAAATATGAATTATATTTTTTTCTAAAATGTTCGGCTGGTTGAATCCAATATATTGGTGAGTCAAATCAGCCATTCTATAAAAGGTCTCAACGGCCATAGGGGTAATATCTCTACGAAATAACTTCTCCGAGTTAGTCAACATTTCAGACAGTCGGGGCATAAACCTGGTCACTTTAACCGCATGCAATTCTCAGTTATTAAACAAAACATTTACTGTGATGATGGCAAGCGAGAGGTTCGGGAAAGCCACAGGAAAAGAGACTTTAATGTACTTCATCCGCAAACTGCATCGACAGCAAGTACTACAAATTTGATAGAGGTATTCATCTATTATTTTATATATATATTTACACAAACTACGACACTTTGGCTTTTTTATGAATTAATAAACGCCATGACTATAAAGTATTGAGTTTTGTTTTATTTTATGAATTGCAGAGTACGGGTTAAATCAATAGTTCATAAAATAAATGTTCCTGTAGAACTTAGCTATTTTTAAACATAAACACCTAGTATTGCATTACATTTTATGGAGTCATTGACACTGAAGAAGGTTATTTGTTCAACAGAAATGAAGAAGGTTATTTGTTCAACAGAAATGAAGAAGGTTATTTGTTCAACAGAAATGAAGAAGGTTATTTGTTCAACAGACATATTTGTCAATATGATTTAATAACATCCTCTTTGTATATTACCATCTTATATAAGTATCATTGCGCATATTCTAGACGATTCGATATATATTAAATTTGCTTGTTGATCTCTTTTATAGACTGCTATATATAATTTATATTATATATATGTTTTAAAGAAGGTTTTAAAAGTGATTGAACCTTATTTTCCCTGCAGACACCAACAAAGAATATGTATAAGACACGAGTTCAGAAGGTGAAATAAACCATTTCCTTCGTAAAATGCATGTTCCAAGTCAATAATGTGACAGGTTCCGTTGGTTCATATAGTCGAACGTTTGGTTCTCTCAGTTTTTGTGAACGTCACCGTTTTCAATTTACCTTGAAGTTTGGTATTTTCGTTATCAGGTTTTTTTTTTATAATTTGCATTAACTTTTTTTTTGTTTTTACGAAATATAACAAAGGAACTTTGAAACTCAATGTCGAAAAACAAACTGACAACGCAATGTCAAAAACTAAAAACGAACAAAATAAAAGCACTCAAAACCCTACATAGAAAATTACAGGCTGAGCAACACGAACCTGACTTTAACCTCGGGGTGATCCCAGGTGCACAAGAATGATAAGCGAATCCTTCTCTTCATATGGCACATAATGTATAAAATAGGAAGATGTGGTTTGGTTACCAATGAGACAACTATCCACCAGACACCAAATGACAATGAAGTTAACTACTATTGGTCACCTTACAGCCTTCAACAATGGGTAAAATACATTTGGCATAGCAAGCTTATAAAAGGTCCCAAAATGAAAGATGTAAAACAATCCAAACGAGAAAACTAACGGCCTGATTTCTGTACAAAACAATAAACGAAAAGCAAATATGATATGCAGCAACCACTGAATTACAGGCTCCGGACTTTGGACAGGCACATACAGAATGTCAAACCCTCCTTTTAACTTGGGAAAATGGTGTTACAGTACAACATAAGAACAAACGATAAACAATCAGTTGAAAAAGGGTTTAACTTATAAGATTGACATAAAGCACATACAAATCCTAACAAAAGCACACACGACACAAAATACAGATCTGAACGCTTTGCCAAGTTGTATAATTTTGTGACATGAACTTTGAGCACTGCAGAAGTAATCACGCAATTGTCTTTATTTGTCTTGCAGTCTAGATATAATTACACATACTAAAATTCGGGGCTCACATTCTGCAAAGTAATTTTTAAATGTTTCATATACAATACGCCAGTTCCGAAATACGGTAGTTATTTGAATCTGTCATGTGATTCCCATCACCACGTGACCAAAATGTAGGCATCGTCACTTCCAACACATGTTGAGCGAACGGGTGAAAAAAGTTTGATGCTATACTGTACAAAACATTCGGAAAATTTAAATCTAATTAGTTGGTCACCCTCCCTTCAGTCGTACAGAAATTGAGAGTACGTACTTACGGAACATAAATTATTTCTACTAACCTGCAGAACGACAATCCTGAATCTTTAAATGCAGGGATACAGACGCGCCTTCTATCTGGTAAATGACAACATAAATGCGTGCTTCAGTGACGATATTTTCCGGTGAAAGACATGATGCGAGAAATAGTCTATACTTAGTAGTACAGAACTTGAGTTGTATGAAGTGATGAAAATATATATATTCGTCTTGGAAATATGAAATTTACAACAGCATTTATATACATCATGTGTACATTCCATGTGCATATTCTATACATTCTGCAATTGTTTGCACCAGTCCTAAGTCAGGAATCTGATGTTCAGTAGTTGTCGTTTGTTGATGTGGTTGATGTGGTTCATAAATGTTTCTCGTATCTCGTTTTTTATATAGATTAGACCGTTGGTTTTCCCGTTTGAATGGTTTTACACTTGTAATTTTTGGGGACCTTTATAGCTTGCTGTTCGGTGTGAGCCAAGGCTCCGTGTTCCGTAATCTGACCTATAATGGATTACTTTTATTAATATTGACTTGGATGGAGAGTTGTCTCATTGGCACTCCTACCACATCTTCTTATATCTATTATCATCTTGATCACATGATTTTGTAGCATTTATTTAAAAATGCAGATTTATTACCACGTACCATATCGAAATAAGGATTTAAGATACACATGGCTGTTTAAAGAATTCGCAATTTAAATTTCTTATACAGAATTTGAAAAACCAAAAAGCAAGTAGTCATGCCTGAAAAAAGAAGGTTCATAAAGCAAGAACAGGCTGCCAATTTAAGCTATATCTTAACTAACAGTGATTTATATCATAATTTATCCATTTGCAATAACTATTCATACTATTCTGTCTCATTTCAATATTATCATATTGTTAAATTTTCTGTTTTTTTACCTTGACTCATATGGGTGTAATTTGCAATACAATTATTGTATTCACTTCTAGATGGTCGTCTTCAACATTTTCGCACATACATCAAAATATCATTCACCTCTTGACCACACAACTATGGGACAGAATATCAACACACAACGACATAAGTATACGATCTGTAATAATGTGAATATTGTCAAACAACAGCTGCATCATACTTTAAATCTAATAGTCATTCTGTTTGTCTGCTACAGTTAATCAAAAACCATTTAATCTAGAATACTCAGCAACGATGACTTTATCAATTCACAATCGGCAATTACAAACTGATTACAGATGAGATAAAATGTAGGAGTAACAGCATTATTTTTATTGTTCCAGAGGTAGGTTGAGTTTGTTGATATACAATACCAATCATCGTTTTTCATATATTTTACATTCAAATTTTGTTTATGTCATGTTTAAACTATCGACAAGGAGCGCTGAGTATGGTGTGTATACACTTTGTATTCTACATAAGAAATTTCAATTAAAGACATTAATAGACCGTCAACTATATTGTATAAAGCGTGCAATCAATGATTTACAGATACCTGTATATATTAGATTAAATCACAGTTCCGATAATATCACCATGAAAATGTCGATTGGTTGCTGTTTAGTTACTGACGTCAAGGACACATACTTACGTTGAAACATAACGATCCGATGTTTCATGATAGCAGCTTCAATATTGTCACAATTAGGATCGCACTCAATACTGGTAATACAGTGGACAATCATTTACAATAGGACTACATTATACATTATACATTTTAACAGGTCATTGAAAATCTGTTTCTTTTGTTTATTATTCGTAACTTTAGCATATATGTATATTTTTATGATTATTATTTTTATTGCCTCTGAAAAATTATGG